TTTTGCCCTATCGGACCAGCAAACCGAGCCTCCATGCTCGCTCTGCCGCCTCCTTTCTCCATCCTCTCTAGTTGATCCTTCGTGCGCTTCAACATGTTAAGACAGGTGGCTTACATGATCATCCTTGCATCGTCATCTAAATCCTCCATCTTCAAGGTCACATCTTTGCACCCTCTGAAGTGGCTGCGATCTCAACCTTCTTCTGGTCGAGTTTGATCTTCCCGGTCACCGCCATCAACATGTTAAATCTCTCGACCTTACATGCCTCCTTGACGTCGGAGCGCTTGACATATGGATCATCTTTCTTCGCTAACCTGTCCTCAAACTTCTCCGTCATCTTCGCCACCACCCCTTCTCACTTCGCCCTCTCCTCCTCCCACTTCTTTTCTTGGATCCCTCTTCTAACCTTCTTGGGCGGCTCTTTGGTTGGGTCGGTTGGATCACCAGTTTCTTTCTCGGTGCCCACACTAGCGGTCTTGGCAGAGTTGGCAATGAATAGATTCCACTTAGGTTTTCCATTCAACTTCAACCAACAATGCATGATGGTGAAGTTCTTCTTCTCCAACTTCAAGAACACATTGCATGCACGGGAAGGCTACAAAATAAAAAATTATCAATGACCAAATGACCAACACAACAATGCAAATCTGGCCAACAAGTTGCATATCCGACCAACAAGTTGCATATCCGGCCAAACAAGTTACATACCCAGCCAATCAACACAACAGTGTTGTGGCAATACATAGTGACAAAATCTCCGGCGCTGCACTGACGTCCAGCAGTAAGGCAGATGTCTGATAATTGATGCCGAGGACTGCATACTGAGTTGCGTATCTGCATGGACGGAGACGACAGCAGCACCCTGCCCGTGAGGGTCCATACTGCACCACATCCACCGCTAACACCACGCCAGCTCCCTACACGTCCACCACCACGACTACCACCTCTTCCTCTGCCTCTGCCGGCCTTATGCTTCTTGAGCGGCGCCGCCTTTGCCTTTGCTTTGAGGCGACGGTTTCGCTTTATCTCCAATTTGATATTCCGGGCGAGCGTGATCGTCGGATCCTCCACCACCGATGTTTCCAACAGCTTTTCATACGGGTCCATGCAGGGGTGGTAGCGAAAAAGGGCGGGAATTGGCATGGAGAGCGGGAGGATCAAAGAGGAGAGGGTTGAGAAAGGGTTTTTTTTCGCTGAAATAGTGAGCTGGCTACGAAAGCGTGGCGGGCTTGGAGTGTCAGAGTCCTACGTGGCTGGTGTTCGGACTCCCGCAAATTCCCCTGGTTTGGCTCTGGTTTATGGGAAGACAACACTCCGTACTAATCCACTCACCGATGGGGGACACCGTCGAATGGCTTGCAGTGTCTAGAGGCCTGACCGTGCGGTCCAGATGGATCATGCAGTTTGAGGGTCCGCGTTGGTGATGCCATTTGTAGGATTGGCAACTACCACGGTGTACCATAAATTATGAAATATATCATTTTCTAGCAGACCAAGTTAAGAAGCATCATTGTTTTCACTATTCAAAAAGCTTATGTTATCTCCAATGCAGACCCTTTAACCGCTAGCATCTGTCTGAACCACGCAGTTCAGGCATGTTTTGCAATCCAACACATTCCTATATCCATCCGCCGGCTGGTCCGGACAGTGGCGGAGCTTGCAACAAATTACTAGGCGGGCTTTTTTCTAGGGTATTACTGGGCAGGCTCGGCATGCTAAACTGGAAGAAATTGAGATTTCCTTGGCCCATGGGCTGGCAGTAATAGGAGCAGGTGCTGCAGTACTGGGCGGGCCATGGCCCATGTAGCCTTGCCGATGCTCCGTCAGTGGGTCCGGATGTCCTTTTTCCTGCAAACCGGGGGCTTTGCGGGCATCCGGACGGCTGCCACGCACGTGTCCAACAACCCTGGCCCACCGAAACCCTCTCCATTGCTTGCGCCCTTTCCCTCTCGAAGCGATTGCCTCACAATCATGCTGCTCTAGAGTGGCAGCTCTGCCTTGACGCCGGGCCTGGAGCAGACGTGACCTCTCGCTGGTGCTGACATTCAAGCGGCTCGCCAGCCGAGAACGCCGCCTGCGCCGCGTCCCTGGTGTCCGCACCTAGAGTGCTCTCTCATTAGTTGGACCATTTGGAATGAACGGAACGTCGGGATCTTTTGCCACAAAAGCACGCCACCGATGATCTTGCTAAACGACATTAAGGGTGAGGTCAAGCCACGGTTCACCGCCGGTGCAAAAAAAATGGGGACTATTGTACCGGGAGAGTAAACCTTCTTTGTACTTGGGGACTTGTAACAAAACTCTTCCCTCCTCTTAATTAATATACGAGGCAAATATTTTGCCCCCGTTTGAAGAAAAAAAAACAAGTTACTGGTCCTTTTGTTTTCATTCGCCATATGACTTATTGGCTGAATGACTGGTCAATATGGCAGACAAAACATGGTAAAAGAGGGATGTTGATAAGAGGAACAACACTTCTCGAGGGCATAGCTGAGGGCATCTCCAACATTTAGTCCCAAACGGACATCCCCTGCTTGTCTGCGGACACGTTTGGACACCCTCCAGCTTTCCCCTAACTTCGTGTCACCCAATGATTTAATATCTCTATATTTAACCCCCATCAATGAAAAGCTTCAAACATTTCTTTGAGATATTCTTTTATCCACCCAATGATTTAATGTCTCTATATTTATCAGGCACTCCATCCGTTGTGTTGCTTTATTGTGGTTCATGGCAAACACAACAGCTTATATATGATGTAAAGAAAACTCAGGAGTAAGGAAATCTCTATCCTCGTGAGTCAATCTTTCACATTCAATTACATCAATTATAATACTAGTCACATCAGGTGCACCAACATGATATTTATAGAAGTTGGTGACATGCCTAAGAAGATCTTGATCCTCTTCACCTCAACTCCATCCCGATATAGCACATTTATGCATTTTTCCTTCTTCCTCCTGCAGGCTTTGAGATGATACTTGGTATGTATTTCCATTTTTCAAATCTTTTTCCTTAACTCACGGTTGCAATTTAAGTTCTTCAGCTCTCAACATCCTGTAGAGATTTGGTATTTAAAACCAGTTTCATGTGTTTTTCTCCAGTAGTAAGTGGGATCAGTTCTTCTTTCTTATCTAGCATACATTTGCCTGCGTACACTCCTCTCGTTCCAGTAAGTTTCATATCAAGAAACATTGCACGAAAATGGGTCCATCCAAGTGGGTAACACAAGAGGCACATGATCAATTAAAATCCATTTCCTCAAAAAGAAAAAAAAACCTATTCTGTCACCTAACTGTAGTAAATGGATATGCTAAATACCAGCCAGAGGACACTAACACTATACAATTTTCCATATGTAGGATCATCCATGTAAACTGTCAGCCATTTAAAGTTAGTTCTTTAATCCATTATTAACTTAAATAATGGAAAAAATATGGCTCCATTTAGGCAAAGTACATGGTTCCCCTCCATAGGTTCCTTCACATCAGAATTATTAACTGTGAGCTGCATAGATTAGCAAACTCACCTAAGAATTCTTCCTTAACATCAGACTGAGCTGGACCACAAATGGCTACTAGCTAGATGCCATTAGAATTTAGAGATTTTCTCACTCTCCAGTATCCTAATATAAAGAACACCACATTCATTCTGAAAAACATCAAATGTATATATAAACATTAACTCCTAGAAATAAACCTTCAGATGTACCATCAAGAGTAGTGTCGACAGATTTATTTCCGAGCCGCCAGAGTTTGGAGAATTCATGCTTCATGGTTTCCTCTAAACCAATGAAATGAATTTCTGACTCAACTATCATTTCTCCGAGGAATCTTTGCTTGTGAGGGCATCTGACCTATGTGATGCCTACAAAAGCGCACAAAAAGCCATCTGGACACACATGTATTATACTAGTACATGTTGACAAAAATAAAGCAGAGAAAACCTAGGAGCTTTTTTTTCATTGTTTTGTAGAAGGAGCTTCGTTGGCACGCACTGAGCTGAACAAAGCTGGCTGTTGAAATTAACTAGCAACGGCTGGTCGTCCAAGCTTGCTAATTCTTGGTGAAGATCCAACCTCGTTTTCGGCATAGATAGATATAGTAATGGTATCATCGTATTTCATGAGTTACTGTGTCTGTGTCCTGTGACCATTAGTTTTAGCAATAATATATGAGTCTTGTGCTATAAATAAATATATCATCCGATGAAAACTACAAAATGAGCAACTACCTAATCAACAAAACTCAAAACAAATGATCGAAACAATACAAAAACAAGCACAAAACTCCTTTACTTTTAGAACACCAATGCATAGTAGGTAGTCTATTGGCAGTCCAATACTAATCCAGCAATCCAGGAAGATTCATGTCTGAATCTCATGCACAAATTTCTTCTTTCTACTATTTTCTAAAAGCACAAAACCTGCAACAAACTTTGCACAGGATCTGCCGCCTGTAAAATTCATCGCGTTGCAAGGAAAAAAGGCAGGAGCATAATCTTCGCAAGGCCGTAAAAACATTATTGTTTTACCAAAAGGGTTCACGCTTATCTGATGAGTCACGTGATATCATGTGTCCGTACTTTCGTACCCAATTTTCACAAGTGTATACGAGTTAAATATAGCTAGATTCGTCCAGCATTTCATTGGTGATGACGAATGAATGGTGTCGATCATTTGCTTGCAATATGAGAGGGGGGGGTGGTGCCTGTAATTAATTAAGCAGGATCGAGGAGTGAGGCCAGACCAGTTGGTATTATACTACTCCATTTGAGAGCAAGCAATAACCTAGGAGGGGCTTGGTCGGCGTGCTCAGTTAGTGAACCACTGAGCGGCCTTGTTTGCTAGTAGTTGCCAGTCAAGATTCAACCTCGCTTACGGCATAGACAAACATATCCTCATTGTGTAGTTTATTGTTGAGCCTAGTGTGAGAAAGCCGGATGGTCGTCAAGTTGAGGTTACCGCAGGCCAGGTGAGAAAGCAGATACCAACGTGAGCGATGTTCATGGGTCGGCAGAGGTACGACTCCCAGTGGGAGGAAGTGAAGTTCATCAATGGCTACATCTTGCTCGTGGTGTACGTCTTCGACGCCATCAGAGGGGTCGGCTTCCTGGTGGTCACGTGGGCCACGGTGGTGCTCCTCGGTGGCTTCGTCTCGATGATCGACAGGGTTGATTTTGGGCAGCTCACGCTGATCACCCTCATAGAGCTGCTCTGGTTAGTGCTCTTATATCTTCCTCGTTTCCATGCACTTTAGTTACCTGCTTATATAATTTCATCAGATCGAGTTGAGATAGTGGTTACTGGTTAGTCCCTCTCTGTTCTCTGTGCACCAACAAACATATGCATATGCGAATCGCCACCGTGGAGGTCATAGTTGGAGATGAGCCCATGACTGCCATAGTCGCCATCGGAGCAACACCACCAAGATATCAGTGTGTAGTGATCTATGGCCTCCACCTCTCCAAAACATAAGATGCAACTTCATGAAAATCTTTTATTTACCCCGATAGTTGCTCCAAAGTTCCCAATAAGAGCTTCAAGTTTTATGTTTTGTGTTCCAACAAAATTATCGGCATACAACCTGTGCTAGAGCAGAGCTGGATTGAGTGGTTAGTCTGTTTATCTGGATCCAAATAATTAGGGTAATGCAAACCATAAAGACAGACGCAAAACAGCACATATCACTAAGGTTATCTATCGTGTGCTTAATATTCGCTTTTCGTCACTGGGTTAATTAAGAGTATGTGCTAACTTGGAGCATACATATGTACAACAGGATAAACACCTCTTTCCTTGAAAGGATGAGTGCTGCTGACCTGGCGAGGATCTTCAAGGTGGTGAAAAACAAGAGATGGCAGGTGCGCGGCCATCACCCGGAGGAGCCAGGCAGCAAGATAGCTACGGCGGTGCTACTTGTGCCAGCGAAATGGGCTCTGGCGCTGGTTCAGAATGTGGTGTTGATCTTCTGCATTGCCTCTGTGCTGTGTCTCTTGCTGTTTGGACCGTTGATCACCACCTTGATTTCAATACTCGGTCTAATTAGAGACGACCATTACGGTGACACGGGCGAGGGCAGAGCAAACATGGGCCTGGCACACGATGTCGTGTATGTCCTGTGTCTAGCCCAAGGTGCCTTGTTCGTGTATATAATCGCCTTGTTACCCTCCAAGGAGAAGAATGTGAAGCAAGTGAGCCAAGCATACGGCTTCCTAGATGGCGGTCATTTAGTTTCCGGCTACTTGGACGAGATCAGGAAAGGGTACTCCAAGAAGATACCATCGCCCGGAGAACGAAACCTCATCACATATGCTATTGAGCTCATGGAGTCCATGTCGGCCCGTAGCTTCCTTTCCGGGGTGCTGATACTAGACAGAGTACTCACCCGGAAAAATCTAGAGGAGAAGCAGCCGCAACAATCAGATTTAGAGGAAATAGTTGGAGCTCCATTGGTTGAAAAGGATATGAAGAACAAGGAGCAGAGGAGAAAGAAGAGGGAGGAGTTGAGGAAGAAGAGGGATGATTGGAGAAAGAAGAGGCAGCAGAATCAGCAAACAGAGGAGAAGATCATCGTTCTGCAGCGCAGGATAATAAGGCAGCTGATCGGGTCTGCATCCACCACTCACATTCTCCAGAAACTGCTTCATATGCTGGATTCAAGGCGCCCATCTGACAAATGGGCTAGGGAGGCCGCTGCGAGGATAGTGGAGCACGTTGCCAGCGGGATCTGTTTGGTCCAGTTCCCACGAGGGATCGAATGCATATCTTCACTCCTCAACTGTTTCGAAGAATACTGCCAACTTCAGCCATATTGCTCATCGTCATCCTTCTCTTTACTGAACACAAACGGAGACACTACAAGGACTCCATGGTCGTCAAAGGCAAACAATGGTCATGATCAGGAACAAGACAACAGCATCCACACTTCGACACTAGAGTCAGAGTTCGAGTACTCAGAGTCAGAGTCAGAATCAGAATCAGAGTCAGAGTCAGATTCAGCCAGGGGGATCGACCGGCCTAAGATGCTCCATGGCTACAAAGAGCTGCTTCTAATTGGTATGAATATCCTATGGAGCCTCGCAGCCAGCGAGGACAACTGTGCAATCATAGGCAAAGCCAAATATCCTGTCTCAAAGATCATGGCGCCTGTTAGCTACGACCTAGTGCACCACACAGCTGGTCACAGTGAATGGTCCACTAAGGTAGTAGAGATATCATTGGCGGTGATGCTTCGGCTAATTGTGACTGCCAAGAGAGAAACTGCGACAGACCTGCTTCAACAGATGTCAGAGGATAAGGAAGCAATCGCCACCATGGAAAGAATTGTTACCTGTGAAGAATGTAAAGGCGGAGAACTGCAGATGAAGGCCATGCAGATCCTCGTGCAACTATGCATGGAGGAAACTGCAGACAGAGGCAATCTCATTAAGATACTCGTAAGCATCTTCATTAATGTTGATAGCAGTAACTCCATTAGACAGACTACAGTTAATTTACTGGTGGTGCTGTTTCTTGGTAGAAAAAGTGTCGCTCCCCTCTTCCCCAAGGAGGAAAATGATGGGTTTGTCTGTGGTCTCACCAAAATATTAGTAGGGGACAATGACACATGCAGAAGAAGCGCAGCAGAAATTCTGGAGCATTTGTGCATTCATTATGCTGAGAATGGTGAATGTGTTGGTACACTCAGGAATGCCATGATGGGTGTGATGCCAAAGGTATGTACCTAATCTTTACTTCATTCATGTCTGTTATTCTTTCTTTCTTCTCATTCCTCGACATATTTACAGCCAAGGCGAATTCTCTAGCCAATCGCGCATTCATTCATTTCTCTTTCCTAACAGTTAATGGGCACATTTCCTTACTTTGTGTTTGATCTGTAGCTTTGAAGTAGTTGCAAATGCTCTCAATATTTATGTGGTAATATATACACTATTGTCACCACTGCTGCAGGTGCTCGAAGAAATACTACTTGGTTGTGAGTCAACAGGGGAAGAAGGAATCCCCGAATATACGAGATCATGTGGTGATGTCGAAAGCCAAGTCATTACGGACAACGATAAGAAGAAGAACAACAGTACTTCCTCCCGTCCTAGGCAGAAGAAACACCACATGCTGCATGTTGCTCTGCTATCCCTCTGTGTGACAGCATGTGACAAACTAGACCTTGATCTCGATGCAATTTCACTGGGAGAAGGAAGAGATCAAGCTAGAGATCCAGCAGAATGTTTCACGATCAGCCTTGCTACAAAGATGGTGCAGTTAAACCAAGGTCTGCCCACCACAGACAACCTCACAGTGATGAAACTTACCACTAGGATGGTGATAGCAGCAATGAAGAAACTCAAGAGCCATGGCACCGCTGGCAAGCTAGCTGTTCTGGAGAGCCTCATGGGCTCGCTGTCCAGCGTTTCAGAGACCATGCTGGATCTCGAGAGGATCATGGTATTTTCCAGCAGGATGACGCAGACAATGCCTGCCACTGCTGAGACCCTCGATTTCCTCATTAAACAAGCACGGCAACTCCATGGCGAAATTAAGGGCCAAGGCTCGGAAATAGTACCAGCTAGCTAGCTGTCTCATGCAAACAACTAGATTATTTGCAACAGATTTGCTTCAGATTTTTATTTGAAGATACGCATTTGCATCTTTTTGTTCACCCCACTCTACTCTATTGTATTACGATGTCTCATGCTTATCATGCACGATGACATTAACACTTCCTTACTTTGATTTTAAAGGGACGGAAATTACTCTCTAAAAGTATGTGTGTTGCATACATACTCGTTACAAAGTTTGGGCAGCGTCATCACACGGCAGGGGACGAGTTGACTATCTTTGAAATTAAACTTGGTGTTAAGAGATTTCAGTACTACTATCTGTTAAAGGAAAACAGGACAGAGACAAATACAGGCTTAGAAATACAAAGCTCCACCAGTAATATAAACATGACATATTCCCAGAGTAAATTTATTTACTATGAATGGAATCTCAGAAAAATGACATCAACTATCAAAGGCAGCTTGTAGATACCATTCGAGTTAACACAAAATATGATGAGCTGAAGTAGGGATCGAACAAGATTTTCAGAGGAACATCTAAGTGAACCCCAAAAGCTATTATAATAAACTAGCAAATATGCCCGTGCGTTGCACCGGGAGAATCAAAACACACTTCCCTGGCCCAATGACCCAAGACAACATTTTGTTGCATCAGCCATGTAATATATATTTTACCAATGGTCTTAAAATGCATGTATGAGATGCTACACTTCAATCATGAAAGAATTGATTAATTTAAATATCTAAATTACCTTCCTAGTTAATTTGCAGTATAAGGAGTCATTACCTTCATCATTTGATTTATCATTGAGAGCCTAAATCATGAGGATCGTACATGTATGTACATATATAAGAAATTAAGGTTTGATTGGTAAGTTACCAGATGCCCATTACTAATTTTCGTTACCAAATTTCTTCTAAACATACATGCACGGAGACTTATAAAGTATAAAGTACAACTCAATTATCTTTCATATAAAAGGAAACATAATAAATGGATTTGCACATACCACACTAAAACGAATTTTTTATTTGAAGAGGTCACAATAATTTTCATGAAATCAGGTGTATGATTCGGAATTTCTTTTTTAACCATGCATGCTTCAGATTCCACCAAAAGGCATTATTCCCCGTGCGTTGAAACGAAAAAAAAAATCATCCCTCATACACACACCTGACAGCATCAGCGAATCCCTTCAAATCTTTCACAATGCCACACGAGAAACAACATGATAAGTGGTGTCGCGCAAAGTTCATAAGGTTGTATTATTTGTGAAATATACTCAACATGTTTCCAATTTATTAGATAACAGAAATATCAATGTTAAGACGGGATTTTCAAAATACCCCATATAAAGAAGATATTAATAAAAGTTGCATCATAAATGGAATTTTAGGAATGATGATTATTATAATAGCATATTTCAAATCTACACATCTTTTTAAAGGGATTTCCATATATAACATGTTAGATTTGGAGTTAGGATTTGAAAGTGATTAATATAATACCATATTTGAAATCTACACATCTTTTTAAGGGATTTCTATATATAACAAGTTAGATTTGGAGTTAGGGTTTGAAAGTTATGAGTTTTTTTGACATTGAAAGTGATTAATATATAATACCATATTTGAAATCTACACATCTTTTTAAGGGATTTCTATATATAACAAGTTAGATTTGGAGTTAGGGTTTGAAAGTTATGAGTTTTTTTGACATTGAAAGTGATTAATATATAATACCATATTTGAAATCCACACATCTTTTTAAGGGATTTCTATATATAACATGTTAGATTTGGAGTTAGGGTTTGAAAGTTATGAGTTTTTTTGAAATATTTGAATATGTCAAAAAATAGAAAGAATGAAAATAGAGTAACTGGTACATTGTGCAGCCCATCGTACGCCTACCAACATTAGATTTGGAGTTAGGGTTTGAAAGTTATGAGTTTTTTTGACATTGAAAGTGATTAATATATAATACCATATTTGAAATCTACACATCTTTTTAAGGGATTTCTATATATAACAAGTTAGATTTGGAGTTAGGGTTTGAAAGTTATGAGTTTTTTTGACATTGAAAGTGATTAATATATAATACCATATTTGAAATCCACACATCTTTTTAAGGGATTTCTATATATAACATGTTAGATTTGGAGTTAGGGTTTGAAAGTTATGAGTTTTTTTGAAATATTTGAATATGTCAAAAAATAGAAAGAATGAAAATAGAGTAACTGGTACATTGTGCAGCCCATCGTACGCCTACCAACATTAGAAAAAGAAGAAAAGAGAGTAAGGGGAATCGAACCTGGGTCTCCCAGGTCAAGAGGTGAGGCTCACACCACTACACCAGTCACCCGCAAGTTATCATCTACATGGGCTTAATTTTAATAACCTAGCCTCTCGCGGATTTTAGAAGGGGCAAACAGAACCCTGTTTTTCACTTACCAATGGCATGGTGGGTAATTCTTTACAACCTCAGGGGCAGTTTTAATGACGGATGACAGAAACCCAATTCTCTTTATTATTATATATATAGGTATAGGTAATAGGTAAAGATAAAGATAAAGATTTCCGCTGCCACCAAAAATATGTTGACAAATCACAAGCTCCCACGTCATCTAGCATTGAAATTTTGACTTACACGCACTGATGCCATTATAATAAATTTCCACTGTCCAAAAAATGGGAGATTTGATTTTCTGCCACAAGTTACTTTGCTCTTTGACATTTTGACACTAGTTACATAGTAATTGATAATTTGCCACAACTTATTTGGGACTTTGATTTTTTGCCCTCTGTCAGAATACCCCTGCCCCACACATTGGAGAGGCTCATCCCCTTCTGCTCGCACGGGTCGGTCGTTCTCATCCCCTCGTCCCAGGGCTCATACGGCGGCGCCGGAGCAACAGCAGCACGAGGCGCCGGCGAGGAGCAGTAGCTCGGTGCCCCGTGCACCTCCTTCATCCCGGCCTTCTCGGGTGGGTGGAGCAGCTCGACGCGCCGGTTTATGGAGGCTCCTCCAGGGCGGGCGACGGGCGCGGTCCAGGAGGCGCCGGCTTGAGGTGGTGGCGGTGTGGCCAGCCTCGGTGCGGAGGAAGGGCTCGTAGGGCGCGGAAGAAAGCGGCCGGGCGTGGCACAGGGCGGCGGCATGGGCCAGATGTGTGGCCGGCGGCCATGGCCGCGCGACGGTGCTGGGCATGCTTCGGGCGCGGGCGTGGCCGGCCTCGGCGCGGAGGCGGGGCTCGTCGGGCGCGGAAGGAGGCGGCCGGACGTGGCACAGGATGGCGGCGTGGGCCGGCAGTGTGGCCGGCGGCCGTGGCCGGCGGCCCTGGCCGCACGTTGATGTTGGGCGTGCTTCGGGCGCAGGCGCAGCTGGCCGAGGAGGCGGAACGGCGGTGAACTCGCCGGCGGGCTGACGCAGGCGGCGGCGCCGCGCCCTGCCAGGTTAGGCCGGTGGCACACGCGCAGGCTGGTTCCCGTGGCGGCGCGTGAGAGAACTAAGGAAGAGGCTGGGCTATGTCAGAGTCAAACACTCACAAGGGTATAGTTGTCCTCTGTTTTGTGCACTTATTTTGTCTATCATTTGGAAAGATTATTTTTGTGTTAAAAAGTGGTAAAAGATCAAAGTCTAAACTAAGTTGTGGCAAAAAATCAATTACTATGTAACTAGTGGCAAATTGTCAAAGAGCAAAGTAACTTGTGGCATAAAATCAAATCCCCCCCAAAAAATATGTTGACAAATCACAAGCTCCAACGCCATCTAGCATAGAAATTTTGACTTATGTGCACTGATCCTATTCCACGAATTAATGCTGCTATTTCATATGTGTTCCAGGACACGCATCACCGAATTCTGAATTTATCTAGAACAGGATGTGTAAGTACTCGTGTGCAAATCTACCTATGTTCCAAAAGGTTTGGGCAGAGTCTGCAGCATAAGCGTTAGGAGTCGGGACGGGGGTGGTACCTGGGGCGGGGAGGAGGTGTCGGCGGCGCGAGAAGGGAGGGGCTGCGCCGGAAGGAGAGCCGCCGGCGGCGGCGGTGACCAGCGTGGAGAGTACCTGGGACTGGAATCGCTATTTCTTGTAAAATCCAGCCCGATGTTTCTCATGCAAACAACTAGATTATTTGCAACAGATTTGCTTCAGATTTTTATTTGAAGATACGGATTTGCATCTTTTTGTTCACCTCACTCTACTCTATTGTACTATGTGGTATTGTATTACTATGTTTCATGCTTATCATGCATGACGACATCAACACTTCCTTACTTTGATTTTGATGTGACGGAAATTACTCTCTAAAAGTATGTGTGTTGCATATATACTCGTTCCAAAGTTTGGGCAGCGCAAGCGTCGTGGCATACCCAACGCGTAGATAATGCAAACGTCATCACACGGCAGGGGACGAGTTGACTATTTTTGAAATTAAACTTGGTGTTAAGATTTCAGTAGTACTATCTGTTAAAGGAAAACAGAATAGACACAAATACAAAGAGCCAGTGTTGCAAATAGACAGGCCTACAAAATACAAAGCTCCACCAGTAATATAAACATTACATACTCCCAGGTTAAATCTATGAACTATGAAGTGACTATCAGAAAAATGGCATCAACCATCAAAGGCAGCTTGTAGATACCACTCAAATCAACACAAAAATATGATGAGCTGAAGTGGGCATGGAACAAGATTTTCAGAACAACATCTAAGTGAACCCCAAAAGCCATTATATATAAATTTCCACTGCCCCAAAATATATGTTGACAAATCACAAGCTCCGACGTCATTTAGCACTGAAATTTTGACTTACGCGCACTGATTCTATTCCACGAATTAATGATGCTATTTCATAGATGTTCCAGTACACGCATCATCGAATTCTGAATTTATCTAGAACGGGATGTGTAGGCACGGTCTGCAGCGTACTCCCTCCGTCCTTTAAAGAGTGTACTTCCAACTTTTTTGGAGAGTCAAACTTTTTTATATTTGACCATGTTTATATAATAG